CTCTCTCTCTCTCTCTCTTTCTCTCTCTCTGTATGTGTGTGTGTGTGTGTGTGTGTGTGTGTATGTGTGTGTTTGTGTGTATGTGTGTGTGTGTGTGTGTGTGTGTGTGTGTTTGTATGTACGTGCACGTGTTTGTGTGTACTGTTAACATTACCTTCAGCCGAACAAAACCAGGAGGCATTTTTCAGGTGATTTCAATGAACTTTCTATCTTTAATATATCAGATATCCACAATGAATGCCATTATGTTATTTACCTTGAAATTCACATTTTCTTTAGTGGTGTTATTTATTGAGAAATATAAGACAACCAAAACATTTGGGTTCTAGTTTTCTAGTTTGGAGAGCTTATAAGCAATTACTATTACTAATGACTCAGCCTTTTGCTAGGAGGACACAAAGTTGTGTCTTTGAGCAAAACATCCAAATCCTATGACTTTAGACTTTAGACGTTTGCGAACGCCATAAGACTTTTACCACACTTACCACACATAAATCTAGGCAAACAGTGCAGTAAAAAAAATAGTGACATAATATGTGTATTGACTGTATTTGCGCTATATTATGCATTTTGTGAATTTGACGCACACGCAAAATCGTGAAAATGTGTGGAATAAAAGTCACCATAAAGCTTGTTCATTTGCTCTACTTTTGATTTTAAAAAGTACGTGTCTGTGCTGAATACAAGTCGAGATAGTGGCAAATGTAGAATGAGGATGTCAGCTGTTGTCAGTGGTAAAATTAGCTAGAAAATGGCCGTCAAAGTTTGGTGCCTTCCAAAGCTTCAGAGCTCTTAGAAGCTGCAAATGTATCTTTGTACAACACACACATTCCAATGAGTACAGCAGCATCAATTATAATGATAATGATGATGATGATGATGATAATGATAATAATAATAATCAGCATCACCATCATCATCATCATAATTTTATATTGATGTTATTGAAGAAAATGATGATGATGATGATGATGATGATGATGATGATGATGATGATGATGATGATGGCAATGATGAACACAAGAGCAATTCTACCACATGTCTGGATGATCTATATACACTGTGGCAGGAAAACAGACGCCTCCGAAAATGTAACCTCCTTTACATGGAGAAAACTACCAGCTTGCTGACCATAATTTTTGTAATTTATCAGAAATTACAGTGCAACTGGACTTTTAAGAGGAACAAATAATCCATGACCGAAATGATAATATTATTATCGACGTAATAAGGCATAATATAAGCAGAGCTTACCTACTGTCTCAATTAAATGCCATAGTATCCCACAGTGCAACGCAGATGATCAGATATATTATGGCCAAAGGGCGATAGCAATTGGGAACAATGTGTTCCCATTTTTTTTTTGACAAAAAGGATGTAAAAGGCTAACAAAATCTACTCTTTGTTCATTCACCCAACAGATTTCGGCGCAGTGTATGTTGCATCTCTCTTTCTGACAGTACGAATACATTTCTCGAAAGAACATGGCACATTTCGCTACCCGAGAACCACAAAGTTCTCTCTTCTCACACCTAGATCTAGTTATGAGAAATTTGACTATAAAATATTTTGAATTTCACAATATGTCAAGCTTTTTCAAGTGTAATTCTTTGTATACTTTGATAACAATTCTGAATAATCTTACCATTTTGATAGACCAGATAAAACAATTTTTATCTGAAAAAAATGTTATTGGATTTTATATAGAGCTTTGTAATTTTGAGGTACAATTATTTGTTAAAATTGAAACTTCACTGGAGAATATTTCAATTTGTTAATTAATGAATTCGTGTGTAAAATATTTTTAAATAGGTAAACAGATAACGGCTTTACAACATGTCTTTCTAATAAAGTGTAACGTTATTTGATATTGTTTTTCAATTCAGCCGTCGTGCTCTAACCTCTATGATATAAATATTTACAATTGGCTTTTTGAAGTTTACATGCAATTTTTTTCATTTCGAAAACAAGTTCTCAGACATAATATCGCTACCATTTCCAGTATTCAGCTTGGTTTTATTTGTATATTATTTCAGGATCTAAACTCGTTTACAAGATCTACAGCTATAAGATGGGAATATTTCAAGTCATCCTTGTCGCTGTCTTCATGGCAAGTGAGTAAAGATGGAAAGTTTCAGGACTGAGTTCTTTTTAAAAGCGAAAAATATTAAGGACTTTGAAATAGTTTTTTTTCTTTATTGATTGTCCAAATCTGCTTTATTGTTTGCAACCCTCCAAGGCTGTTTTAATTTTATCATTGTTTCAAATTTTTTTTATTTTTTTTAGAATCGAAGCATTAGCCATGCCGTCACGCCTTTAGTTCTGCATGGCCCTGTGGTGCTGATGATATTGATTGTGATGCCCATAGTAAACGTCAGCATAGCATACTTTTTAAAAATACCACAGCACATCTTCTAACTTTAGCTCTTTATCAGCCCAGAGATGATCGAAGGGGAAATGCTTTGGAATGAATTCGGTCAATTGGCTTCCAACATCACGATGGTGATTTTATTTCATAAAGCAGTAAGCCTTAACCTATATTCCTTTCAGTTTTAACCCTTCTGCATTCGACATTGTGGATAAATTGATCAAAATGTATTTTTCATCCATTGCTAATTAACCTTATCGGATTTGTTTTTAAAAGAGAAGACTGTACTTTTGTTCTGCGCTCTAAGCAATTATTTGCACTTTAGTTTATCATACCCCTATTTAAAAGGCAACTTTAGTGAGGGCGTTATATTTTTATTTATAAAGTTACAGAGTTAATGCGTTCACAAACTAAACTCAGCATAGGGCTTCGCAACAACCTGCTAGAGCATTTTATAAATTTTATTGTCAATAATGAGTGACATATCCCGGATTTTGGTATATGGCTTGCTAAAACGACGAAGCTTCCGACAGAAACACTCCATCTGAGGCAGTTAAAACGTAATATAGTATTATTATTAAATTTAAAAATCCTCTTACAGATTGCAACAACACCTTATGTCTACAATGAGGCCACAAAAGCAAATTGGGTAGTTCCATCGTGAGAGTAATCCAACAAGCCCTTGAATCGAAAGAACACAATAGCTGTGAACACAAAGAAACTGTTAAGGATTCCATACAGTTTGAGAATCTGTAACTGAATATTGATATTCATGATCACTATTTTCTTTTAGCATCGGTGATTCGTTTTGTCCAAGGCAAACTGAGATGTACAAAATGAGGTATCATGTGTCCTGCATCATAACTGAACTGCCAGAAACATATCATTCTAGATTGTTTAGGGTTTGGGAGGAAGAGAAGATTGCAGATACAACGATACTAAATTGTTAGGGTCATAAGGGGACACGTTGTTGTCATCACGGTCTAATTATAAATGGATTATTTTTTTTATTAGAGGCTGTTTTGATGAAAAAGCGTAAACTTCTGAGGTCAGTACCCTGCAAAAGTCTCTTAAAGTCATTCTGAAGAATATTTTTAAATGGAGATCATGGGATATCGTTTCCTATGATATGCAGGTACTTGGAAATGTGAACAGTTGAAAATCGAATGTTTTGACCCGAACACCACATTTTGAATACACGTGCCTTCCCTTTAAAGAGGAATGATAATATACGAATTTGTGTTCGTTCCATAATGACCGTCACTTATTTACTCTTTACTCTTGTAGTGGGATGCAAGCGGTCCTTTAATAAACAAAGGAGGGCAAAGAATTTTTGTTCAGCTTTCGCTTTCATACTGAATTCTTTTTAACCAACATAATATTCCCGTCGTTCGATATTTCATGATCTCGACCAAACAACATTTTTTACCCCACCCCCCTCACTCTCCACGCCCGGTCTTCATTTTCCCTTTCAGGTTTCGCTGCCGCGGACTATGAAAATCCAGAATGCCAACGTAGCTTGCAGGCCTGTGCATTCCCTTTGGCCATGAAGTTTGGGATGCACTTTCAATCGGCGGAATCACTCATTGCCTTATTCAAGTCCGTCAATATGGATACAGTATGCACGTGAGACAAAAGTTTCCCCCTTATTTTAATTTTATTTTTTTGTGTGAGCTATATCAGCCAGCAAATAGGGCGGGTGAGCTGAAATATCAGATGGCGTTATGCTGAGCTTCTGCAGAGGTCAATGTATAATTACAAAATTAGATATTTGTATATTTTTATAACGTCAAGTATGTGTCGGTGGCACGGGGTTTAGATGTTTGGTCAAAGGGGATGTGTCCTTGAACAAATACCCTAACTAAAGGGTGGCGACCGGCAATGACATGTTTGTGAAATTGTTCTATATTCGTATAATATTGTGTATTTATGTATGTATCTGTGTATGTAAGTATATATTTCTAATTATGTATTTATACGAAGGGGGGGGGTGGTAAATAAGTCTTTGGTCTGGGTATGAAGGAATCATGGAAGAGTAATTAAATTTTGCCAGTCTTCAAACAATTCCTTGAGAACACACCTTGCAAAATTTTGGGGAAATCTGAGCATAATAAGGCACTAGTCAGCGTTTTCAATGAAACCATGCACAAACATGTTTGGTTTTTCTTTGCTGAAGCTGTGCCAAGGGGCCTGTTGAATGTAACTCAGTTTTTACCCTTACAAGGAAAATCCCCTTCGGAAATTTTTCAGGAAATGACCCAAGTTTATGGGGACAAAGGTCCTCGTTATAATACTGTGACATACTGGGTAAGAAAAGTCAAATCTGGATTCATGTCGGGGATGGATGAAGATCGTGAAGGACGCCCATCCTTTGTGGTAACTGAAGAGAATGTATCCATAGTGAAGAAACTGGTTTTACAAGACCGACGTATAACTGTTAAACAGCTCTCAAGTGAAACGGGAATCAGTGTCGGATCAATTGAAACAATTCTCCATGACCATCTTAACAAGAATAAGGTGTCTGCGCGGTGGGTACTCTGCCTTTTGACAAGTGAGCAAAAGAAGCAAAGGGTTGAGTCCGGCAAAACTCTCCCTCGAATTGAGTCCCATGACACAAATTTCTTTGAAAACATGGTGAACGTGGATGAAACATGGATTTATCATTTTGATCCAGAACGAAAAATGTCTAAAGAAGGCAAGGGTAACACCATCAAGTGGAAAGGTTATGCTGTCGTGTTTCTGGGACTGTGGAGGCATCGTCATGACTGACTACCTGGAAAATGGAAAATTAATCACAGGGGACTGCTATTCGGGTTTACTGATAAAATAAATTACAGTCTGAATTGGTGAGAAAAAGGCGTGGAAAACTCCGTAATGGGGTCCTCCTACTGCATGACAACGCCCCTGCGCAGAGGGCACAACAAACAGTCCAGACAGCAGAACAGTGAGGCTTATAAATCTTGCCACACCCAGCCTCTTAACCTGACACTGCCCCTTCCGACTTATTTCTGTTTCCTAATCTTTAAAAATCACTGAAAGAACGTCGTTTTCATGACAACAAGGACGCCATTGAAGCTGTGGAAGACTTGTCTGTGGCTCATTCTGGGTCATTTTTTTCTCCAGGACTTTTGAAGGTCAAAAAGAGGTGGCAGAAATGTGTTACTCTGCATTGTGACTATGTAGAAAAATGAAAGTATGTGTGCCAAGTTTAAAAGCTCTATCTTTATTCCTTCATATTTAGACAAAAGACTTCTTGAACCCCCATCGTATTTGTACATTTCCCAATCATCACCATCATCACCATCATCATCATCATCATCATCATCATCATCATCATCATCATCATCATCATCACCATCATCATCATCATCATCATCATCATCATCCAGTGCCAGATCTGGGACAGACATCGGCGATCATGGTTCTCCATTAATTCCTTTGCTCGGATGCTCTAAAAAAAGCCCGTTTACCCATTTGTTTAGGTTCCCCAAGTAGATTGTTCTGGGCCTTCCCCTGCCTCGTTTGCCTTCAATTTTGCCAGTGAGAGCCAGATGTTCAAGACCATTATGTCTGTTCAGATGTCCTAAAAACTGCATTTGTCGTTTCCTGATTGTTTTTAACATTGAGCGTCCCACGAGGGCTTCATCAAGCACTACCTCATTTGATTTCTTTTCTTTCCACGATACTCCCAAGAAAACACCATTGCCTCTATTTTATTTTCACTGTCTTTAGTGATTGTCCAGCATTCACAGCCATTTAGAAGGGTTGACCATACATAGCATTTCAGAACTTTCATTTTGATGGTCATTGAGATGTTCCTATTTCATATTCCTATGTAACCCATAATTCCCCAAATGCATTATAAAAGTGTAATTCATTTATACTTTGTTAATGTATTCATTCATTAATTTACAAATATGTTAGTCTATGAATGGATCAATACAATTTATTAATTGATCAATTGATCAATATATTTTCTATTCTTTTAATTCTTTTTTACCTTGTGAAAACAAAACTTCTTGATTTGCCTATAAATGCACCACCTATCTGCTCTAAAAAGCAGTTTTAGACTTAACAACAATACTGGGTAGTCGATTATTAAATATAATATTATGTCTCACGATGCAGTGGAATCAGGCTTACATCGATTTGGGGGAATGTAGCGTTATTAGTATCGTCTTAAATCTTGTTCGTTTGTCTTGCTTTCAATTTTTAAAAAATACCCCTATATCTTTAAAAGAAGTCAAGATATTTGCGACTGAATGAGATGGGGGTCATCTGGTTTTAGCTGTAGAATTTGCAAGAAAGTGGCCACGAAAGTTTGGTGTCTTCTATTGTTTTAGAGTCTTTGTAAACTGAAAATTTACCATTTTATAGCCTTTAATAAACGTTCTTCATTTAGAAAAAAACAAACAACAAAAACAACACGCAAACTTGTTTTTAAAAGGACATAAAAGGTGTTGAGACAAAATTTCGAGAAAAAAAAAATTCCAATAAAAATGCAGATTTCTTTTCTTTCATTATTTATATTTTAATGAGCAGCTGATTTCACCACGATGCCTCACAACATATGAGAGGAAGAATACAACGAGATACTAACGTTGCTGTTTGCCGTGTTCTGTTTCAGATCTTTCTTGCATCCCTTCGTGGAGTGTGTTCAGGAGGCTCTTGATGCCGTCTGTGAACGCACGGAAACGATCGATGAAGTGGGCAATTATCTCAGCCTGTTGTCCTACGTTTGTAGCCCAGAGGGAATCCAAGGTACATTTAATTTGTAACATTATTTTACTTCCGTAACTTCCAGTATCGCTGGTCTCCGAAGCGGAAAGTCCGGGTTCGAGGCTCGATTCGAAGACGGATTTTTTTTCGCCCTCTCCTGCCCACTCAGGAGTTATGGGTACCTGACTTCGAGTTGGGGAAGTAAAGACAGCGTGGAAAGGAACTACTGGCCACCCTACCACAATATACCGAAGGGCTAGGAAGTTGTCTCACTAACAAGGCAATCCTCAATGTACGGATCCGATACGGGAACAACTTTTAAATTCCTGTATAGTTTATTTGCCACATCTAACTCGGCATAACAGAATCTGATGGTTGAGGCCATATTTGTGTTAAGCATTATTCAGAATCTTTTCTCTGTTCGACAAATATAATTTTGCCGCCCCAATAGCGGGTGAAAAGTAGCTGTTACTGAAAATACTTTGACTGTCCTGTTTTAGGACAGGTAACATCCTTCTTCTAAACACCTTAGCTGCCTTTGGTTGGACTATGAAGCTGTCCTGAGAGTAACTGCTTTCCTGCGTTACATAAATCTGGATATTTATCCTTACATACGTCTTTATACGGTTGATGTCGTTTTTTGAAAATAGATAATGATAAAGACCACTAGAAATCTACCTTCATAGATCGACTTGATTTTAGCCACCGGCGTTGTTCCCCTAAAAAAACCCAAAACAAAACCAACCCCCCCCCAATCCTCTCACTCCCCTTCCCCTACATATTATTTTTCCGTACCCCATCATGTTCCCTTTCCTCAATCCACCCATCCCCTCCCACCTTTTCTCCCCCCCCCCTCCACCCTCCAATCCATGCTTATCCTTATCCCATGACCCCTTCCCACACACACACACACACACACAGAGCAGAAAGTTGTTTTCTTCTAAGACTGCCTCTGGTCACACACACACACAGAGAGCAGAAAGTTGTTTTCATCTAAGACTGCCTCTGGTCAGAAAAAAACATGAAATTAAAATACATAGGTACAATCAATTGGTGAATGTCGGACTGGCATTCAACACACCAACGATACATGGATTAACGCTTTGCATAAATAAAGGTGCAAAGACTCTCTCTCTCTCTCTCTCTCTCTCTCTCTCTCTCTCTCTCTCTCTCTCTCTCTCTCTCTCTCTCCCTCTCTCTCTCTCTCTCTCTCTCTCTCTCTCTCTCTCTCTCTCTCTCTCTCTTTCTTTCTCTCTCCCTTACTAGCTGAGTTTTTATTCCGATTGCGTTTGTGGTGGGCGATCCAGGTTCAAAAATAGTTTTTCTTTTTTCTTTACATACCTGCAAGAAGAGTATTTACAACCGACGTCTAAATTCCATCCTTCACTTTGCTTCTACTGACACTCTTCCAAGAGCTTCCATTGGCCTTGCCCAAGATGTGATTTTGGACTTGTCAGCCTTGCCTGAATACATTAAGTCTTTGTTGAAACGCACGATGGGGAAATAACCAACCGTCAGGAGACAAAAATTTGATCCGTATCTTCCTCTTCCATCTTACCACCACCAAGAAGGCTCAGAGTACGCCAGGAAAAGAGGAACAGTACTGTACAGTTTCATGAATTGTAAAGTGTTCTCAATTCAAAGAAATGCATTTCACAGAAGTTTGTATCCTTTAAAATGATACCCAACATTCCATTTTGAAAGCAGTCTCACATATTTGGCAAGCAGTCTCACCTAAATTTGAGACATCGTGGTGAAATCAGGCGCTCGTAAAAACAATGAAATCAGAGAAACAGGTATTTTCGCTCAGTTAGGCAATTGTTATCAATTTCATTTTAGCTCAACCCCTTTTATGTCCATATTAAAAACATATTGTTATGTAAATGTACTTAAAGCGTTGATTAAAGGCAAAAACATGATGTCATTTTTCAGTTTTCATGGACTTTTTAGCTATTGGAGTTACCAAACTATGGCGGTCATTTTCTCTCTTATTTCACCACAGAAACCAGGTGACCTCACCAGCTTCAATCAGAAATGTCTTGACCTGAATTCAAGATAGATTGGTATTTTTTAAATTGAAAGCAAGGCCAATGAATAAGCTTTCTGATGATACCAATAACTCCACATGCCTAAAAATTGACGAGCCCTTGATTTCACCACGTCGTGTGTTAGTCCAACGCCCACAACGCAGAGGGGAAATGATGAAAATACAGCCTAACTTAAACTGCATCTGATACCTTGAACGTGTATTCCAATATGCTTCAACTTTCAAATGGAGTTCGGTACCCTTTGAGGGGAACTTCAAAGAAAACCCCTACGTGTTGAGATCGTGTTGAGCAAAATGTGAACGTAATGAAATCAGGTAAAAACGCGTTGAGATCGAGTTCACTGAGCACAGTGTAGTTTCTAAGATCAGAGCAGAAAAGGGAGATTGAAGTATACCTTTGTGAAGCGTAAAGAAACGTAACTGGATGGTTTACTGTGCTGCAGGCAGGGCAAAATAGAGGCAAAGACATAAGGGAAGAAATCCCACGTCACTGGTTTAAAACAAATAATCCGATAGCGTTCTTCAATTCTATGAAATGATACGTCAGAAAAGGGGAAGTTGAAGCCGGTTGTGGCAAAAAAAAATCGCTCTCGCTCTCTCTCTCTCTCTCTCTCTCTCTCTCTCTCTCTCTTTCTCTCTCTCTCTCTCTCTCACACACACACACACACACACACACACACACACACACACACACACACACACACACACACACACACATACACGCACACACACATACACACACATACACACACATACACACGCACACACACAGATATATATATTAAATATATGTATAATATATATGTATATATATATATATATATATATATATATATATATATATATATATATATATATATATAATATGTATAAACAAACATTTTATGCACTCAAAAAAACTCAAGAGAACACAACATAACCCAGCTTATGTCTGCCCACACACTCAAAAAAAAGAACCCCCCCCCCCCTTTAAAACAAAAAATTTAAGACGTTCTGGCTCTTATCCTCTTCCCCTGTTTTTTTCTTTCTCTCCACTACTAGTTGTGGAATCAATGAAAGAGTCGCCATGTCTCAATGATATATACGCATTCCGTGCTGTGGGAGGCCTAATTGATACGTGTCAACAAGAGGCTTATACTGAAGAGACTTCTCACGTGGAGCAGGCCATGTTGCAAGGGACAGAACCCGATACCCACGCAGTGTGGTGCCCGTGAGTTTTTATCGTTGCTGTCGTTGTTGTAGTTGCTGCTGCTGCAACTGTTCTAGTTACTGCTGTTTTGTTGTTGTTGTTGTTGTTGTTGCTATCGTCGCTGTCGTTGTTGTTTCTTACCGGTGTTGTTTCGAATATCTCAAAAGCTAACCGAGTAGGAATCGAAATTGCTTTGCATGTTAAAGGGTTATGTTCAAAGTTTTTAAGGCCTTCAACCAGCGGATAAACAACAATCTAAACCTTCCTCCTTTATGGGTAGAAAGAGCTCTTATGGTTCCCTCTCATCGAAAAGGTTCTAGGTTCGAAACCTGACAGCGACAAAAAACAATTCATCTATAAAACGTTCTCTTTTCACTTTCACCTCCTTTTCTGTTTTACTGTCATTTTCTGTCGTAAGATTTCAATTCTGCTTTCTTCTCCATTTTCTCCCCACCCAACTCCCGGCCTCTTCTGGGCTCCTCTCGTCTATACTCCAGACTCTGCTACCCCTAGCTCCTTGTTACCGCTGTCTTAAGGCTATATTCCTAACCTTAGGGTAGCCAGGATCAAATTTCCATCTTTTTGGCATAAAGCGAAAATTCTCGGAATCCCTATACGCACGTTGTGCACCTGCTTTCACCACGTGACCTGGCGTACTATACCGTAGCAAGAAGACAATGTGGTCTGCCATTTAGCCGTTACAAAAAGTCTTTCACCCAACAGCCCACTTACAAATCTAGAAATGTCTAAATTATTCGAGCTAGTCATTATCCTTATGAGTAATATTCCTTTGACAGTGAAATCTTTATACAGTTATTATTTTATTAATACGGCTAAGAGTACCGCAAATCTCCACTTCAGAGTCAAAATCATTAGAAGCTGAGCTAAGGTGTAAAATTATTTCCTCCCTTCCTAGTCAACCTTTTGTGACGATGTCATACATGGGCGACACTTAAGTTTAAGTTCTACGCCACTGTATCTCCCGAACAATATGACATTTCTTATTGCCCCCACCAACGCATACAACTCCATTATGTTCAAGTACTCCAGTTCAGGGGAGACGAAACCTTTCCTCAACGTTTTCACCCACAACAGATAAGTTGAGGATAAAGGCTAGCGAAATAAAATAAATAAATAACTCAATAAATGAATAAACAAATACATAAATAAATAAAAGACTTGACCCCTGATACAACCTCACGCCCTTTAAAAAATTACCCCATACCTTAAGAGTTTGTTCTGTTCTGTTTGCTAATGTGATGCAGTAGAACTTTCGCGTATCTCTTCCACTTGGTATTATAGTATCGACTCAAGCTGAAGTTTAGGTCTTTAATCAAAGTAAGCCAGTGTAATCTCTTCTTCTTCTTTTTCCGTCTTCTTCTTCTTTTTCTTCTTCTCATCCTTGCCTTTATTATTAATATTAATATTATTAGTAATCATTATTAGTATAATAATTATCATTAGTATTTTTGTTATAATCAGTACTATTATTAAGATGACGAAGATAAATCGATCCAAAATCAATCAAAAAATGAATAAATATAATACGTACGTAACATCACATGCACATGGGAAAGAATTCGCTGATCTTTTACATAGTTAAAAAAACTTCCCAAATATAATCATTTTGAACAGATTGGTAGCAGGGATGCGAACCTGTATGGTGGGCGGTGTTGGCATGCTGTGTGGAGACTCTTTCGAAGAGTTCTTCGGCCAGGTCTGGGATCGTATGAGCGTTTCACTAACCGGAGGAGTTGACTGCAGTGAGAGTCTCCGAAGGGCAGGTAAGTACAAGCTTATCATCATTATCATTGTCGTCAGTATCGTCGTCGTCGTCGTCGTCGACGTCGTCGTCGTCGTCATCATCATCACCATCATCATCATCATCACCATCATCATCATCATCATCATCATCATCATCATCATCATCACCACCACCATCATCATCATCATCATCATCATCATCATCATCATCATCATCATCATCATCGAATGGAGTTATTTGGACGGGTGAAAGTGCCTCTGAGTATATTGACAATGGAGCTGAAAAAGAGACTACCTCTTGCTTAGAGATTTCTGCGTCGTGTCCACCAGGCCCATTAAGGAAACAAAAAAAAGTCATCATCATCATCATCAGCTTCATTGCAGAGAAGCAGAGAGGGAGGGAGAGTCGAGATTAAATTTTAGCCAACCATTAAAACGGCGCTACGTTTCACCTCGTAGGTTACTTCAGAAGCTACTGTGAGTAAAATTAAACATACCACTGTATACCCGTTGTCTAAAAACAGGGACCCATTTAGTGAGTAATATATCGATAAACTTTTCACGGATTTCAACAAATCTTCAAAGCATTGAAATCAAACCATGGGAACGTCCCACTTATTAGTATGAAGAAAATCAATTTGAATATAAGAAAAGTATTACGCTTTTAAAGTTTAACCAAAATTGAGTGAATTGAACAAAATTTGCACTTTCCAAAAATTTACTTATTCTTTATTAGTGCATTGAAGAAAAAATTCACATCAAGTTGACATTGCCAAATATACTCAGGGAAGGTGATGGCTATTTAAGCTGTACAGCATTTTCCAGGTGTTGACAATTTCTCTTTTGAAGAGATCGATTACGCTTCCGAAAATTTGAATAATAGCTGTGGCATGTTTCTGAGTGGATTCCAAAGACAACCACTTCACTGTTCGATTTTAGTGGGTTGTTTTCGTGGACTCTGCCCGTCTTCTAAAGTAGGGTTCAAGTTGAGGGAAGGAGGTGGCCTTTCATTTATAAGCAGCCATCTTATACAATTCGTTTTCCAAATACATGTATTTTTTGCGCATGCAGGGGCAACTTTTAGAACGTAGGGTGTTTCCCATCCAACTGAAACTTGGCCTCTTCAAAAGCATAACACCTTTCCCTAGAGAAATTTGTCGTTAACTTTCTCAAAACAATGAGAACGATGTGACTGATCGTCAAGTTTTTACCTTCCTCACAATGAAATTAGAATGTGAGGTTCAGTCACTTTGGCTAAATGCTTAGTTTTAAAAGTGCTGTTTCGCGTTTGACCCGATTTTGATATAATTTTTTTTAAACTCGACAACCACGATTGATTTTTGTCCTATTAACTTCTTCTTGTATAAATGTTATGACTTCAAAGTTTTATTGAAATTCGTGCAAAAGTCACCAAGTTATTATCCTTTAAATGGACCCTCTTCTTTTTAGACACCCTGTAGGCATATCAAGTGGATGTTATTCTTTCATATGATATTGCCTTTCTCTATATCGATATATTTTGTTTCTTTGTTACAGCTGTCTTCAGAAAGAGGAGTCTGGCCGATCTTTTCCCACTGTAAAAAGGAAGAAGACATCAACACAAACTACACAAGATGTAGTTTTGACAAGTTTGAGAAGAAATAAACAATGAAATTTATTCCACAAAATCTGGACATTTTGTTTCTTCTTGATTTATGTCACATTTGAATAAAGTCACATAACGCTATGGCTTCGGATGACCATGCACTGTTGGTATTTATTACAAACTTGTCCATTTTATTAGATCTATAAGAATTCGCTGCTTGTTTCTGCGTTTGCATTTTCTCGTCTATCCAGTAAACTGTTCTATTATTCTTATAGTTCAGTGCCCGCGATAGGATACCAACTTTAAGCTTTAAATTCTGCACTGAAAGCATTATTACTATCAATTCATTCCCCCCTCTCTCTCTCCCTCTCTCTCTCTCTCTCTCGCTCTCTCTCAATCTCTCTCTCTCTCTCTCTCTCTCTGTCTCTCTCTGTATGTGCGTGTGTGTGTACGTGCGCACAGGTGTGTGTATGCCTGCAAACGTGTTTTTACGGCCAGAGAGAGAGAGAGAGAGAGAGAGAGAGAGAGAGAGAGAGACAGAGAGAGAGAGAAAGAGAGAGAGAGAGAGAGAGAAGACTTGCAGGGACACAGACAGACGTATATACAGACGTAAACATAGACAGACGAACAGACTGACATGCAAACAGTTCTTACAGTACGTTTTTATAAAGGAGGAAGAGTCTATAAGCTTCTGATGTCCTCTGACTTTACAAGTTACTGCGACCTTTTTGCTTTATTTTCCTTTCATTAAATTGATTAAGAGGTAACCTCCAAGCAATCATAGAAGAGTACGGCTCGTGAGAATACTATCAACAGCCAAAAGGTTTAGGAGCACGGGGTTCCAATATACATAGCAAAGTTAAGTCCTCTTGAGCTAAGAAAACAACAGCTTCTCGGCCTTAAAATTGTGTCCGTTTGAGAACAGCGATGTCTGGCATTTTAACCTGAGACTTGGTGCTAAGAAATCTACTAAAACATATCACATGGAAATGATTAAACTTCATAGTATGGCTTCGGTACACCACACAGACCAAGGTTCCATGCAATAGGATTAGGCGGACCGGAACATCGCAGACTGTCAATTTCGCATCTATGGAATGTCACAGCAGCCCCAAACTTTGCTCGATGCCTCCTAAAGGATGCAGTAGCTTTATCCTTTAAAAAGCTATTTTTGCATCAATGAGGACATTTGAAGACATTGTAATGCCAAGATAATATTTAAAGAAAGCTATCGACATTTTTGTCAGTGTTATGTTAAACATTTTGATTTCAGGAGGCTCTGCATTTCACATGTACTAGGGACGAGCAGAAAGCGAACTTTAAAAACTATTCAGTGTAACATCTAGCTAAGTATAATATGCTAGAAAATGCATGGACTGAACACCCGGAAATACCCCAAAACCTCGATGGTTTGTCCCCGGGATCAGCGCAAAGAAAACAGAAAACAAACAAAACAGAAACTGCAGGAGAGCACTCAGGAGTCATGACCTGAGAGTGGCCCGCCCCCTTACAGTGTCAGGAAGTTAGGGTCGAAACACTAGCTTGAAGATCAGCTGTCCGCTCGACCCTCGAGTTTTCTCTCTCACAA